AAAAAAAAAAATAGAATCCAGCCTTTTACAAGACTATTAGGATCTGTGACGAAAGACCAGGCTCAGTATCTGAGCTGAGCACAGGCTGAGAACATCAGAATATTGACTAAGAAAGGAGTCACTGTTTTTCTCAATAGAGGAATAACCTACTGAATATTAATGCAGATATAATCACTCACAAGACATGCAACCATGTTGTAACATCAAACCACATAGAAAACATTTTCATCCTTCTCCTAGACACTTTGAAGTTTGTGTTTTCTCGAGTTGAACAACTTAGTACCTGCTCCGGTTGTTTGGTTTACTTGCATGTTCTATTCTATTTTATTTAAATGTGTGATCTCTCTAAGTGGCCCTGGCTGTCCCAGAACTGCTATGTAGACCAGGCTGTCTTGGAACTCTCAGATAATCTTCTGCCTCTGCCTCTCAAGTGCTGGGAATCAAGGTGCACACTCCACACACTTGCATATTCCAGATTAGCCACAGAAAATGGAGGAAAACAGTCTAGGTTGAGGTCTGGAGTGTGTTTTCTGCTCTTCTCATTTGGCATCTCTTCAATGATTGATGTTTCCTTAGGAAGCGGTCCCCACACCACACGCCCTGATGATCCCCACTAAGGGCCTCTACATCGGAATCTCCGTGTCTGTTGGGCTGTTGCTTCTCACAGGCGTCCTGATGATCTTAAGTGAGTAGCTTTATCAAGGTCTCATTGTTAGGGATGGGAATGGGTCTCCCTGGGAAATGGTCACACAGTCAAGGAATTTTGACAGAGCAAAATCTTTATACCTAGAATGTAGTGCAGAGCCTCTTTAAATCCACTGAGCAAAGTGGGGTCCTGTTGGGCCTTTAACTTTAAAGCAAAGAAGTCCTGTGCCTGCCTCTGCCTGCTCAGAGCTGGGCCTCACAGTCTAGGAGACTTGTCGTATAAAGCAGAGCAGTGACTAGGGAGAATGGTTCCGAGCACAGAATTTGACGGTAGGAAAATGCTTGCTCCACAGCTCTTCTTGCCTAATGGTGTCTTCCCACATTTCTTTCAAGATGGCACTTCCTCTATCTTCTTTAGCCCTGTGGTAAAAGACAGTGCATTTCATGTCTGTTTCCCAGACCGAGGAACTAGAGCAAGGCTTCTCAGCCACTCTGACCGCCTGCAAGGAACTCCACATGCCATGGGGTTCACATTTCGCACGATTTCTATGTGTTCCCCAATCCAGGATACGTCTTGTAGTCCCTTCTGGGTCCCAGGGATGTGTTAGGACCTACTGTGCACTGAGATTCTAACTTGGGACATGCCCAGTGAACACTGTTACAGTATGTCATCAGGATTAGTGTTTCATGTAACTTGTAAAGCTTATATACTGGTGGCTCCTTTCCTAAGTACCATTGTTTGTTTGATTTGTATCCTTTGGAGTTTTTGAGACAGGATCTTGTACATCCCAGGCTGGCTTTGAACTTACAGTGTAGCTGAGGCCAGCGTTGACCTTTTTCTCCTCCTGTCACTACCATCCATGTGGTGCGCTTCCAAGCATATGTTTTATGCTTCAATTGTTGGCCACTTCAAGAGGAAATCAAACTTAGGTTTTCCATAAATAAATTTAATGTGGGGCTGGGAAGATGGTTCGGCACTTATGAGCATGTACTGCGCTTACAGAGGATGTGAGCCCCATTCCAGCTCCTGGGTGAGTGACTCACAGCTGCCTGTAACCACAGCTCCATCTGACAGCTCCAGTTTAGCAGGTTGCTGGACTCTAATGTACATGCTCACACAGAGACAGACACAGACACACAGACACACAGAGTCACACACACACAAATCCAGAGAGAGAGAGAGAGAGAGAGAGAGAGAGAGAGAGAGAGAGAGAGAGAGAGAGAGAGATCTTTAAAGAAAAAGAAATGAAAAACTATGGAACAATAGTTTGCTGCCCAGGGTAAGATCTGAGATCTGGATGGATGGCAAAGACCGTATAAGATCTATTGCATGTTCTCTCCTAGCCTGGGAATCTGGCTTTCTCCCCATGTGGATATTTATGAGCATTCTGGAACACACATTTAATAGAAGAAGCACATGAAACATTGGGAAGGAAAATTACATGGCTGATGTGAAAACAGAGTTCCCAGCCCTCATGACCCGTTCCTGCTGAGCCTGTGGGAGGACACACAGTGTTACTGTCTGTGCAGTCCACTCCCCGTGTAAGGCCCTCAGCCATCGACTGTCCCAGAGACCACACTGACCTGTTTCACACGGCTGGACAGGAAATGGGAAACAAGAACATGGCTGTCAGATTTCAGGGTGATTCCCACTAATATTTGGAATGCAGTTATTCATAATAATTATTTAAGTTGATCCTGAGGGTGTGTACCTATAATCTGATACAGAAGGATCACAAGACATGGCTAGCTTGGCCTACAGTAGTGAGATAATGTCTAAAAGGGGGAATATAAATTGTGCAAAAATACTGCAAATACGTTCACTTCCTTAGCCCAAAGTTGTTTATTCTCCCCTGAGGGAAGGTGGCTACAGGGAGTCTAAAGTCTTTGACAGGAAGTGGAGGGTGAGGAATAAGTGGTGCACACTTCCTGAATTACCTTATGGCAGGAGCCAAAGCCAGTAGAGAGCTCCTTTAGTGACAGTTTTTAGAGGGTCTTTGATCGTAGAGATCATTAACAGGGCCTTGTGTCTCAGGCTGCCTAGAGATTCCATGTTTAGCTTGTTCTCCAGCAGCAAATTGACTAAACTAGACTTCATTGTTTCAGCCAAAGCCCATTTCCCAGTGCCCTTCTAACACATTAGGAATGCTCTGTGCGGGAGTGCACCAATCCGTGATGAAGAAAAGGTACTTCCTGCGGGACAGGAAGGACCCTCAAGGGAACAGTTCAATTCAAAAGCAGAAACAATAGCCTTGATTAGGAGAAAAGATCATGCATATTACTGATGACATGTTCAATTCATCTCTTCCTAACTGCCCCCCTCCATTGCAGAGTGTCGACACATGAGAAAGAAGAAGCCAGAGATGTAAGTTGTCGCACTGTGTCGATTGCTTTGGAAATTGCAGTCTTGTAGATTCCTTATGTTTTTATCTTTGTTTTCCTTTTCTCCTCTTCTTTCTCCTTCTCCACTTCTTTTTTGATATTTACTTATTTTTAATTAAAGTGTTTTTCCTATTACATTATTTTGACCATGTTCACTTCCACCCAACAACTCCTCTTGGATCTCACCACTTCCTACCCGCCCTACATTATGTTCTCTCTTTCCTTCAATAAAAGGAAAAAAAAACATATAAAGCCCATAATACAAAAACGAATATCAACACAAAACAAAAAGACTGCTTTCTGTCAGTTGTCACATTAGCTCATCTGAGCTTTCTGACCCTAAATTGTTCCCATACATTTGCGTGTGACACTGACCCAAGCCAAGAAAAACTTTGTCCCATCTTCTTTGTAAATGACGGCGCAGGCACTATGATGTGGCTGACCGGTTCTACATTTCGGCAGTAGAGATGGCCAGTGTTCAAATGACAAAACTCCACTCTGCCAAAACACCACCCATGAGTTAAAGTTAGCCTGTTTTCCTCTCTGATTTGCTGCTTCATGAGTTCCAGGAAGCTCACATAGCGGTCCACTGTGACTACCAGAGTGAAAGCACATTCCGTGTGTGACGGAAAAGGCTGAACCACAAATCCTGTCAGGCCTCTCCCTACAGTGCCTGATGATTTTGTGCATGTGGTGTACATGAGTGTGCCCCAGACTGTACACTTTGCAACTGTTTCCTGTGGAAGAAAAGGCCCCGCTTTGTTGCTTTATACATTTCCTCTCTGTGTTAGTGTTACAGTGTGCAGATGCTATGTAGATTTCAAAACCATTTTTTTTAAAATAAGAACTTATTTAAATTTTGTTGTGGTAGGAGGTGGTGGTGGTAGTGTGTTTGTGTGCACACACGCAGTTTCCATGGTACCTGTGAAAGTCAGAGAACAACTTTGTGAAGCTGATTCTCTACTTCTGCCTTTCTGTGGGTCCAGGGATCTAGCATGGGTCACCAGGCCCTCCTAACCGTTTCTAAAGGGCCACAGTCCTAATCTGTAAATACAGCAGTCATCCATCCAGCTCTTAAGCCAGTTCCCACATACACACCAATTAGGTAACTTAGCCTGATGTTAGGTATCTGTCTTTTTAGACTTTCTTCTTTTGTGTTCTATTACTTGAGTATTCTGATGGATGCCAGTATGAATTATTTTTTGTTTTGGTGTTTCTTAATTTGTCTGATGTTTATTAAGCAAACTTTTCTATGAATTAAATATCAGGTCCCTGTACGGTGCCATTCATTCCCTGTTACAGTTTTGGGAATGGGGCTGCTTCTGTCCTGAATGCCCAGTCTTGCTGGATCATAGATGGAAACTCTGCACAGACCTGAAACGTGACTTCTTTTCCCACCGATTCTCTCCACAGCTCAGTCGTCTTCCATGCTTATCAGAATGAAACTTTTCAGTCCACAGTGCCCCCCCAAACGGAAGACAAGTTCGTCATTACTGATGACAGTTCTCATTCAAGGAGTAAACCCTAGCTGCCTTCTGAGGGGTCATCATCCCGAGACTGCGGAAGAAAGGAATGGGTTATAACCACACTGCTGTGTTCTTTCTGTGGCGGTTCATCCGATGGCCCTACTAGGGGCAAGAGTGAAGAGGGCGGCCCTGTAGCTGTCCATATGCACAGTCACTGTTAATATAGTTCTCAGTCTTGCCAAACAAGAACACTTCAGAATTTCTTGTGTTCTTCACTTGCCATAAATTGTGTCCTTGAGGTCTAAGATACTTAGCAGTACTCTGTACCTGGGGAGTACTCAGCGCTGTGGGCAGTACTCTGTACCAGGGGAGTACTTAGTACCCTGGGCAGTACTCTGTACCTGGGGAGTACTCAGAACCCTGGGCAGTACTCTGTACAATGTGTCAGTACTCTGTATCCTAGGGAGTACTCAGCACCCTGGGAAGTACTCTGTACCAGGGGAGTTCTCAGCACCCTTGGCAGTACTCTGTATACCTGGGGAGTACTCTGTATACCTGGGGAGTATTCAGTACCTTCTGTCAATGTTGCTGACTAGACCTAAAAAATAACCCTATAAAACCTAAAATGTAGCAAAGACAAAATTGTTGTGTCCTTGAGAAACAATCATTGGTAATGCCACAGGCTGACTCGATGCCCAGTGCTCCTATTCTCACCACTGGGCTCTGAATCAGGAACTGGAAGGAGGCAATGCAGAGATGAAGGGGAAGGGGGAGCAGGAAACAGGCTCTGCCTGAGAGAAGTCCTACTCCAGATGTGATAGAGTTGGGACTAGCACTGGTTTCTTTCAGCGTTCTAAATTTCTAATTGTCTCCAGATCATATTTATAATTAAATTTATTTCAGGAAGACAAAGTTCTTTTCATAGTGAATCATTTCATCACAATCAATGAAATACTTGGTTTTGCTAAGAGTTAACAAAGGCTGTTGTATTGACATCTTCATTAACAGTCTGATTGCTGGTAAGATCTGCTTTCCAAGGCAGTATTAATTTCTATATAAGTTTTCTGCCTTCTGAGTGCTGGCTCCCCCCAGTTGTCCTCTTATCTCCACATGCCCTCCATGGCACTGAACACACACACACGCACACGCGCACACACACACACACACACACACACGCACACACACACGCACACACACACACACACACACACAGAGAGAGAGAGAGAGAGAGAGAGAGAGAGACTAAATAACTAAAATGTAATAAAATTTAAAAATTTAAATAATAAAGTAGAATCAGGTAAAAAAGACCAAGGATTAAGTGCTGATTTATTGACTTATTTGATGATTTACCTAAAGCACCGTTTGTACTATTTGCCAAGAATGACTTCACTTGTCATCACAACAGAACAATCTGGACAAACAACTGATGCAATGGGTCATTGGCCTTGACAACCTATGGACTGTCACCTGTGTTTCTGTAAACTCTCGCTTGCTTGTCTGCCCAGTTTGTATTATTTTATAATTACTGTGTAAATGTCTGGTTGCTTTCTACCCAAGAGAGAAAAAAAAATGTGTGGATGTGGATAGGAGGGGAGATCGGGAGTATCACAGGGGAGTTGGGGGAGGAGAAATGCTAATAAGAATAGATTGTATAGAAAAAAATATTTTTAATAAAAAAATGAGAATACTAACTGGACCCAGCAAGGAAGCCTTTGGTTCTTCAGTGCCGTCTCCTGTCTTCCACTTTCATTGGAGCTTAAGTACGTATTCTAAGGAGAGTCCCACAACAACAAGACATGGATAGGTGGCTATCATCTTAAATGAAATGGTACCACATCTTATGTGGTATATCGTGTGGACATCCAAAATTAATTTTGAGGCAGGGGACATTTTCCTGAAACAGGAAAGTCAGAGGTTTGCGTGATCGTCCTCACATGGAAGAGGAAATAGAGACCCAGAGAAGGGAAAGGCCTTGACCCAGGTCACCAGGTTAGTTCATGACTAATGCAGAATCTTAGCACATAATTTCCCAATATGATCAAAAAGGCTTGTTTGGCCAGACAATGTGATACATACTTTCAATTCCAGTCTGTTGCATGTGAGGTCAGCAATCTACCCCTCAATTACATTGCTAGCCCGTGTGCTATAAGTCTTCAAACAATAGAGCATGCATAAATACACACCCACCACAAACTTATACAACCCAGGGGTTCCCAGTGCTGTCCGCACCTGGGGAGGAGATGTGGAAAAGGAGAACTCAGCTGTAACTACAGAGATGATGATGCTTCTGTTTGGAGTCAGGGCCTGAGCACTTCTTGCTATGACATTCCCCATGTGACCTCATGATAAGACTGGGTCTTGAACCTCTCTCTGGTCTAGGCCTTTTGTTCCCTTCTCTAGACTACGTCCTCGTGTTTGAAAGCACAGGAAGGTACATCATTGACCTTCACAGATGAGGCCTCTTCATCCTAGGCCTTCACATGCCACCCCCAGGACTGTAGCTAGGGAAGTCAGAGGTGATAATAATCCATATGTGTATTATGATAACATGATCCTTGGGTGATTCTTAGGGACAAAGAGGACATGGGAAGGCCTACTCACCTGGTCTAATGACCAATTTCAGGCTTAATTTTTTTTTATCATTCCCTACACCCGGCAGGAATAGGTCCCACGGTCAGCTAGAGTCACCTTCTCTATGGTTAAGGACACATCTCCTTTGAGGAAATTCCCCTTTAGCTGGTATCTTCTGGATTCCTGATATGTCACATTTCTTTCATCAGTGCCGAGCACCCAATTGACACACCGTGAACAAGGACAGGGTCCCTTGCCCCAGCACACAGGTACAGGTGTCCCATGGGCAGGTAGAGTGTAGTCGCAGGGCAGATATGCATTCTTACCGACCTGACTATAAATATATCTTCCAAAGACCCTACACAGAGGAGCGGGAGGGGGAGACGGTGAGGGAGTGGGTCCATTTCTGTTGGTAATGCATCATAGAATCAAAGAGGGAACTCTGGCTGCCCTGTTGGGAAGAGGATTGATTGTGCCGAGATTCTCTAACTTGAGAGGCAGCAGAGAGTCCTGTTCAAACACCTATTATGATTGCCCATGCCTCCAATCCTGGAGTTTGGCAGCTGGAGACAGGAAGATCCCAAATTAGAGACCAGGCCAAACTATAGAGTAAATTCCAGGTAGCCTAATTGATGAACTTTTTTCTCAAAATAAAATGAAATAAAATAACATGCCAGAAATGATGACTTATGCCTATAATTCCTGTCCCAAGGAGTCTGTGGCAGAACTGCAGTGAGTTTGTGGTCAGCGTGGACAACCTTTACTCATTCCCTAAAATGTCTGCCTCCATTGGTCTGAGGCGAAGTATGGGAATTTGAATGTCTCTCATTTCCCATGTGTTGTGTGTCCCTTACTCCCCATCCACTCTCAGAACTACAGGCCTCAAAGAGAATTGTTAACAGTTCATTTAAGAAGAAAGCTGGGGCTATTGGAGTCAACACTTAGAAAAATTGACATCATTGGCCAGGAAAATGGTCCACCTATTTGGACTAGTTGTCTGTTCATTAACAAAGGAAAGATAACCTCATCCTCATGCTCTCTCTTTTTTCTCTCTCTCTCTCTTTCTCCCTCCCTCTCTTCCTCTTTCCCTCTCTTTCCCCCCTCTAGTGAATAAAACCCCCTAAAAAACAGACCGAGTAGCTTGCAGACTTGAAACTCATCATATGTTGTATTTAAGTTTAAAATAAATTCCCCTAAGCCGGGCCGTGGTGGCGCACGCCTTTAATCCCAGCACTCGGGAGGCAGAGGCGGGCGGATCTTTGTGAGTTGGAGGCCAGCCTGGTCTACAAGAGCTAGCTCCAGGACAGGCACCAAAGCTACAGAGAAACCCTGTCTCGAAAAACCAAAAAAAAAAAAAAATCCCCTATAATAACTCATTTATATGATCAAGCATTCTAACCACATGAAAGGTACTTGAAAGCTGGGAGTCCCTCTACCAACTCTGCTCATTCCCCAGCTCCCTCTCCTAGAGCCCAAACATTTAAAAGTGTCCACACACTGCGGATCCCTGGCAATGCTTGCACACATAATTGGGCACCTTGGTTTTCTCTGTAACATTGTGATTGCCAGCACCTACATCATGTGGTTCAATTGATCTCTCTACTTATATCATAGATACCTCAGATTTACTTACCCGGTCTCCCACTGTTGGCATTTAGGTTGTTTCCAAACGTAAGCTATTACAAAGATCATCACTACACCCACTGTGTATCTCTGTGAAATAACCCTCCTCCATCTGAAAAGGCCCGGGCCAGCACTCACTAGTAAGTAGAAGCAGCTGCAGCGGGAAAGATGTGAAAACGTGAGTTGGCAGGGAAAAGCCAAGGTCAGCTCTGTGTGGGCGGCTTTGGCTCTCCAGTTAAAATGGTGCTTCCTTTAGCTTCTGTGTATCCTCGAGCTCAGAAGACCGGTGGAGACGAGAGAATTGAAAAGTTGAAGGTAGAGGAGCTACGTAAGCCAGTCACAGGTCATTCTGAGCAATGAGACACTGACTCCAAAATCAAACAAATCAAGGATGATGGTCCACACCTGTACTCCCAGCACTCAGGAGGCTGAAGCAGGAGGACTACCATGAGTTCCTGCCCAACCTGGGCTGCATAGTAAATTAGAGGCTAGCCTGGGATACAGAGGATTGCAGAGCTTCCAGCTCAGGTGGTCGAAAGCAGAGTCTGTTGCCTTGCTGCCAGGAACTGTATACTGGGGTCTCGCTTATTCATGCACAGAACCACTGCCATTGGGGAAAACTATGGATCATTTCTGTGAACACGGGCTAATGGAGATGGACAATCAGAAAAATGGCCACTGTTGCCCATGAAAATTTCTCATCTAGCTGGGGTCTGAGCTAGGTGCCTGTTCATTAGCCAGGAGAGGAGTGAATGAAACACCACAATACAGTGAACATTAACCTTGACAAATAAGCTGGTACATTTCAAACTGCTGGGGTCGCTTTAATGTTCAACATTAGTTCCTTTCTATACATTTGTATGTACACATCTATGTAGGAAAGCAGTCAGCCATATCAAATGTGCATGAAACCATGACTCCCTTTCCATACGCTTCCCAGTCCATATTTTTCACTCTAAGCCTAAACATTACAACATTCTCCACACACTGCTGTTGCCTGACATTGTGTGCACACACAGAAGCTGACTGTGTGCACGAACCTGCACCTTGATTTTTCTCAGTAGCACTGTGACTTCTGGCATTCTGTACCCAGACGATTAATCAGGATCATGGCTTATATCATGAATGTATCACATTTATTCCCTACTTTCCCATCAGTAGACATTTAGCATGCTGCCAACCATCCTTGCTATGACCATCCCTGTATCTCCCTCCTGCCATCTGTGACTTACTGATGTCACCACTGCTCAGCTGTGAGCTGAGCTTGCACAGAAAGCTCTTCAGTAAAAAGTAAAAGGAACGGGGCAGCTCTGGGAAGACTGTTTCCTACCTGTTTGTTCTATAATAGATTTCTACATCAGCACCTTTGCTGGGCTGCAGCAATATGGTTATGCCAAAGTTAATCACTTGATCTTAGCCAAACTCTCCCGACCTGCTGTTGGCTGAGCTGTGGTGGAAGGTAGGCTCAGTGCAGAGGGTGAGGGGCTTCAAGGCCTGTCTGCTCCAGGCCTCAGGGATTTCTCTGTAGTTTTCACTGTTCTTCCAACAGTGATATCAACCATCCTCACCAGGCTAAGAATTCCCAATACACATGCAGAAGCCTCACCATCCTGGAAGCTCAGGTAAAGACTCTGAACCTGACATCCACACCCTTCTAGCTGCTTCTTTCCAGTCGGGCTGTCACAGGACTCTCTGGGCAGGGCAGCCTGCTGGAAGCTAACTGCTTCCAGTATTCCTGGAAGACACAGATCTCCTTGGATTATTTATTTCCCTGTTGCTGTTGTTCAGCTCTTTATCCTGAGATAATCTGGGTCTGCGGCAGAATCACGTGTCCCTGTAGCCATCTAGTTCTTTCTAAAGCCTGCAGTGTGTACACACCATCGTACCTTCATCAAAATAAGGAAACTGGCATGATCCATAATTCTCACTGGGAGTCCAGGGATTGGTTTCTCAAGTTAGAATGCTTAAGTTGGGTGTGGTTGCTCATGAATGAAATTCAAAGCGGGCAAGTGAAAATCCAGTACTGGGCAGGGAGATTGCCAATGTGCTTTCATCCTGGTCTACAGAACAAGACCCTGTCCCAAAAAAAGAAAAAAAAAGTAGGTGGGGATACAGATCAGTTGTATAAATAAATAAATTAACTAAGTAAATAGATAGCATGTAAAGATTATGCTCATCTATCCTGAAATACTAAAAAATAAGACATAGAGAAGAAAAGACAACATGGACTCTGGTGGCCTGGAACTAGAGCGGATGGAGAGTCTAAGACCAGGCTCGGCTACAGAGACTTGAGACTCCTGGGTTACAAGAAACCTCATCTCCAAACAAATAAACAAAACTCCAGCCAGGCTGCATTAACACAAATAGAGTCTAAGTTAAACACTTGACTTTCCTCATTCTCCCTTCATTGAGCATTAGACTCCCCAGGAGAGATCTACATAATTGCTTTCTACTTCTTGACTGGCACTGTTTGGTACTAATACGATGAGGACTACGTAAGCAGTTTTAATTTTCCTCTACACATACTAAAAAGAAGCAGGTGCTAGGGGCTGCAAGATGGCTAAGTAGTCAGACATACTTGCTGCACAATGACAAAGGGCAGACTGAGCATCCCAGCACCCACCTAAGAAGACACCAAACCAAGGACACATGATTCCCAGCCCTGAAATGGGGGGAGGGGGACCCAGGGAAATGGTGGTCTTATGGCTTCCAGTTTACCGAGAAAATATGAGGTCCAGATTCAGAGAGAGATCCCGGCTCAAAATAACAAGCAGAGAAATAGAAGAGGACATGAGACACCCTCTTCTGACCCATGTATTCATGTACACAATCCAACACAAACACATACTTGCACATCCACAGAGAAATGAAAATAATAAGAAAGTAAAGCCTCCATTTAACATATATTAGTATATTGGTGAGTCTTCTCAAATACTCAAATAATACATAAATGTAGAACTTCAAGGTCAGAGAGATGGTTCCGTGGTTAGGAAAACTTCCAGCCCTTGTAGAGGATCTATGTTAAGTTCTCAGCACCCACATGACAGCTCATCCCATGTAGCTCCAGCTCCAGGGGATCCAATGCCCTCTTTTGGTGCCTGTGGGATCATTCATACACATGGTGCATGTCCATACACTCAGTCCTTCCCACTCATATTAATACAAAAAATTAAAAAGGTTTAAAAAGAAAATTACTTTTTAAAACAGAGAACTTATGTCATTTTGCTTCACCCTGTTCCTCTACCAGGTACTTTGAAGAGTCCTATGGTTTCTCCCCCCCACACACATTTCAGTTCTACAGACATATGAATGTAGATATGGTGCTATTGATTTACCGTGTTTTGCAAAGATGGGTTCCTGGAAACAAGCTAGTAGGTGTTGCTTTTCACTTACATTTTTGAAGTCTTCCTCCCCCCCACAAAGTTGTCATTTTTAATAAGAGTGTGGCGACCCATTCCCAGAGTAGGGGTGTGCAAAATACACCAGACGCTTTGTACAGCTGCTCTTGGCGAGGGCCATTCAGACCCAGGAACAGTTCTTTATCAGATGATCATCCTGCCTGGGGATGTAACTCACTTCTAGAATATTCGATGAGTGTGTAAGAAGCCCTGGGTTGGATCCTCAGCACAGCAGAACCCAGGGGTCATACTCACACCTGTGATCCCAGCACCATGGAGAGAAAGTCACAAGTTCAATGACTGCTCGGTGACAAAAGAGTTTAAGGCCAGCCTGCATTACATAGTGAGACCCTGTCTCAAAATGAAACAAGAAATACAGACAGCAATAACAACACCTACATCAAAACTTAAAGAACTACCCTGACTTAAATGACTATCCTTTATCCATTCGGTAAAGCCTAATGTTTTTAAATCTTCTGGATCCTTCTTTCTCCCACAGAGGGGTGTGGAAGCAGCACCTTCACATCCAACTCCCCGGGTGGTGGTGGTGCACGCCTTTGACCTCAGCACTCAGGAGGTAGAGGTGAGTAAATCTCTAAATTCAAGGCCAGCCCGGTTCACAGAGTGAGTTTCAGGACGGCCAAGACTACACAGAGAAACCCTGCCTCGGAAAAAAAAGGACACCTCAAGTGAGATGATGACGATCCAGTACAATTCTCACCTCAAAACTGTCCAAGGCATCTTTAGGAAGACCATACAATGTTGGCTAGTAAGTTTATAATTTGGTTTAGGGGAATGAGGACACCCTCCAAATTCATAGTTCCTTCTGGAAACGCTCTTGTTCGAACAACATAGCGCCCTCTAGTAGCCAGACGGGGAAGTAGCACACTGTTTCCCATCTTACTCAATGCCCACACTCTGGGTGCCTCCAGAGACAACTCAGTAACAACTGAAAGGTGCAACCGCGGATGGAGATGCTTGACTTCAGCTGTTTCAGAGATCTCATCTCACCACGCAGCCGTGGCTGACCTGGAACTCTCTGTAGACCATGCTGCCGTACAGCACATGGATCTGCTTGTTTCTGCTCCCCGGTGCTGGGATCAAAGGTGCGCACCACCACCTCCGGCTCTCCTAAACTCTGGGAAGCAGTGGCTGGGCTGGATGTATTCTTCCATGTTTCATTCCGAGCACGGGCTACTAGTAAACAGTATTTAGAAAGATGTAAGTTGAATGGAATCCAGGGGATATAATGAGTCAGGTGTCCCTTCTACTCTTGCTCCAGGGACTCCTGTTCCTACAGTTCAGTCTTCTTTCCTGAGTGTGGTTTATTCACTGTAAATTGAGAGTGTTGGTCCAGGTGGTAAGGTCCCGGTCTCCAGCCCTCTCAGAAGCAGCAGGGTCCCCAGGCCTAGAGTCACACCTCAGATGAAGATCTTCGCAGCTTTGGAAACCCAGGGGCGCATTAGCCATGCTCCCATTCCCTTGAGTTCTCCTACAGTCTGTTTACGCCAGTGAGTAGATGCTATCTCGTAGGTGGATTGGAGAACTGGACAGACTCGACCCTCACACAAAACAGGTGAAAGTGTGGCCGGGAAGTAAGGATGGAATTCTGGGAGAGTCCCGTCGTTATCTACCGGCAGCTCTGGAAGAATCCACCAGCAGCCGAGGAGTTTCTCCTTCGAGGAAAAACTAACAAGACGCTGTGACTCTCCTACCTAACTGGTAAGCACGGTCTTCTACAGAGTCATGCTGGGGAGAAGCCATCAGGATGTTGTAATTGGATTTACGGGATTACATATGGGATTATCGGACAATGATGACTGAGTCTCTAGGCATTAGGACAACTTAATATCCAATACAGTTCTTTGGATTCTTGGAGGTAGATCTTCCTTTAAGTGGGATAATAAACTTTCGTAGAAGAGTTGTTCATTTACTTATTTATTAATTTATCTATTTTATTTATTTTGGATCTTTGAGGTAGTTTTTTGGTTTTTTGGTTTGGTTTGGTTTTTGTTTTGTTTTGGTTTGGTTTGGTTTGGTTTGGTCTGGTTTTGGTTTTGTTTTGTTTTTTTCCACAGTCTTGGCTGTCCTGAAACTCACTCTGTAGAACAGACTAGCCTCAAACTCACAGAGTTCTGCCTCCCTCTGCTTCCTGAGTGTTAGGAACGGGCCACCACTGCCTGGCTCATAGCTGAGCTATTAAAGCCTTCTTAAAACAGATTAACATGAGAAATAAGAAGAAAGCTGTAGAAAACAGTCTGGTACTCCTGGATTAATCCCTATTTATTTAGGTGGTATCTATAATATGAGTAACTTGTGATGTTATCTAAATAATAGGAAGATGGGAGCCAGGACCTGAGAGCACAGCCACGATTTCAGTCCCATCCATTGGCTTTTGTGGGGTGCAGATTAAGAAACACTTGTACGAAATGATTTGTATGAAGCGTAAAGCAGGAACCTAGGACAGCTGCAGGATGGTTCAGGGACAGTGAGCTCATGGTAAGAAGGCATCATGAGCAAGCAAGGGTGGTGCGCGCCTTTAATCCTCGCACTCTGGCAGCAGAGGCAGGCAGATCTCTGAGATCAAGGTCAGCCTGGTCTACAGAGTGAGTTCCAGGACAGCCAGGGCTACACAGAAAATCCTGTGTAGCCGAAACAAAAACGAAAGTATCACTGTGTGTGATTGTCTGTATGTGCCCTGTCCTCAGCAGAACTCGAAAGGAACAGAATGGTCGGTGCCATGTGCTGCCAAGTTGCTTTATTTGGCAAAAAGCCATACTCCTGTGGGCTGTATATTTCTAAAATCTGTCGATTAATTAAGTAACAATTTTTAAACTTTCTCATACAAAATAGTCTCAGTGTTTGGCCAGCCATTTGCAGCATTAGCGGCCTGATCCCTTCCAAGTAGAGAGGCTGTGAGTGTGAGCCCTGTGGGGTCCCAGGCCTGAGGATGCTGATACCATTCCAGCTGTCCTCATGACAGCTGACACAGGTCTCAAGAGACTAAAAATGGGTGCACATCTCCGCCCGAGAGGAAGTCGTGGGATCTTTTAACAGAGTGGAGTTGACAAAGTACTAGGCAGGATTATTTCTATTCTTAGGGCTTAGCAGCTAAAAGCAAAAGCTGAAAACTAGAAGTTGGAATCTGAACACGCACAGCATCCTTCATAAATGGCTTGAAAGCGGTTGCCTTGGGGATTCTGAGTATTCGGTGCCTGTGAGTAAACAGTCCATTGTCTCCTTTACAGCAGATTCTCCAAAAGCTGAGCAAACATTAGTGCTATTTTACCTAGAAGAAAATCTAGGCATGAAGGGGCTTTGTGGGTAAAAAGTTTTGATCTGTGCCCAGAGTTTTTCTGGGTGTCTCTAGACTTGGCCCGGGAAGATTCAGTCTCGGTTAACATGTGTGGCAGCGTGAGTGATGCTTCACTTTCTTGCTCAATCCATCTTGCTAGTGATGGACTTGGATGAGACTTAGGGACCAACCACTGTGGCCACTGAGCAGAAACAGCTCCATGTCCACTGGAGGGCAAGCTCGTCTTCACCATCGGAAGGCTGGTCCTTGCTTAGGGTGGTACCCAGGAAACACACTATTGTTTCTGCCTCCAGTTTCCTTTCTGTTTGCTTCCTTGTTCGCACCAAGACCAGGAGTGGGACTGATGGCTACATGTGGGGGTGAACCAGGAAAGAAAAGGCTGTTTTGGAGGCCAGCTCTCCCTGTCCAAAGCACACAACCCTCCAACACCGGCAGCTTACGGAGCCCTGCTTGAAACCTTTGAATGGGTTTTCGTGGCCCAGTAGAACAGCCCCAACATGACTCACATAGTCAGGGATCAAAGATAAGTTGCCTTCTGAGAATTAAGACATGACTACATAGCATGTACTGAGTGCCACAGCCAACCAGAGCATCTTCTCATTGTCCTCCAGGTCAACACCATGACGCATCTTCAAGTCTTCATTCCAGGCCTCATACTTCTTCTCCCAGGTAAGTGCACAGGTGAGCTGGGGAGTGTTGGATATGACATAGGAAGAATAATTCCTCACTATTTGTTCATTGTGAATTGTGCAGAGAGGAGAGAACCCAGGTAAAATTGGAGCTTTGAAGAAATTCTTTACTTGTATGTATTTCAAAATTGATGAAAACCACAAGAACATATGAAGAGAGAGTACATGTACAGGCATGTGTTAAACTAGTAAGGGGTGAATACATGGATGTGTATGTGACAAGGGATAAGAACATGGATATGTATGTAATAGACTGGTAAGGGGGGAGAACATGTACATGCATATGATAGACTAGTAAAGGGTAAGTATCTGTAGGATTATGGGATAAAGTTATTTCTTATCACATATTTCTGTAACTTCATTATAATACCATGTATTACATTTGTGATCCTGAAATGATATTAGTCCAAAATCAAGTAATGTGTGTCCCAGTATGAAATATACACTCACTTTTTTATACATCAAGGACCGTGTTTTTTTCAGGTCATGTCCCAAACTCACAGCTTAGGTCTGCATATAGGTGATTAGTTAAGTGAATCTTACAATTCAATGTTTTGTGATTTTGTTTGCTTATTTGTTTATTGCCGGTTCTGGGATCCAGCACAGGAGCTAGCATGGGCTGACCAAGCACTGTATCCTTGAGCTCCCATCCTCAGCCTTCGGAGTTCCTTCAAAGGTCACCATGGAAGCAAATGACAATAAAAGTTTTCTTCCACCATCCAAAAAGACACATATTCCAATTTTTGTTTTAGTTTTAGAAATTGCATACTTTAATTCTGGGCTGAATAATCTCCAGTCCTGGTATCTTCCTGTGTGATTGATTCTCAGTTTCTGGAATGCCGCCCTCTTACAACAAGGGATCCCTGCTTAGATTTTTCTTCTTAAGCACTGGTCCTAAAACCTCACTCCTCCTCATAGTATTCTAAAATCCTTTCTGAGAAATTGATGTTGAGCCAATAATGCTGTAAACAAAAACTTGGCTTTGCTATTTGTAGAGGAGGGGAGGGTATTGTAAATGTGTATATGTGTGTGTGTGTGTATACATGTAACAACAACTAATGAAAAACAGAGGCCATGAATTTGAAAAAGAGCAAAGAGAACTGCATGTTAGGGTTTCAAAGAAGGATAGGAAAGGGAGAAATGAAGTAGTCATCATCTGATCTAGAAAAAGTAAAATAAATAACTTTTAGAAATTAAATTAGATCTGGTCTCAATGGTACATGCATGTAATCCCATCTCTCAGGTATCTGAGGCAGGGGAATGGTAAGTGCAAGCAAATGTAGGCTACAGAGCAAGACTCTGAATTAAAAACAAGCCAATGGATCAGGCATGGTGGGAACTTTAACTCCAGCACTCAGGAGGCAGATGCGGGAGGAGGAGCTCCAAGAGTTTCAGGCTAGCTAGTTTGTAGGTGGGTTCTAAGCCTGCCGGAGCTGCATAGCGAGTTCTGGTTCAAAAAGGAAAATGGAAGAAAAGTAAACTAACAACATCCAAAAATGAGAAAGAGAGAGAAGAAGAGAGAGAGAGAGAGAAATAAGAAATGATCAAATGCATGTCTCCAAATCTCCAAAGCATCATGACCCATGTTTAATTCTCGGTTGGCACAAAAAGAAAAAAAAATGGAGAAGAAATGCAGGTATAAAAATAAAATTGTAGGAAACCATTGGAGCGCTCATTCTGTTTCCCCTCCTTTACCCCAGCTGCTGTAGAATCTGTCCTGGAAGTGCGTGGAGTGGTGGGCCACCCTGTGACACTGCCGTGTACTTATCCGGTATCTCGCGGAATCTCACCCGTGTGTTGGGGCCGATTGGCACGTTTTTCTGATCAATGTAAAGATGGTATTATCCTGACCAATGGATACAACATCTCCTATAAGAGGAACAAGCGTTACCACCTCAAGGGGCCGCTTCTTCAAGGAAATGTGTCTTTGACCATAGAGACAGTCACTGAGAGTGACAGTGGCTTCTACTGCTGCCGAGTGGAGATGAAGGAATGGAATGCTGTCCTGATCGTCTCGCTGACAGTTCATACAGGTAAGCTGGCCTTGTTTCCTTGCTTCTTTATTGCAAGCGAGCCAACTCCTCTATTGGCTAATAATTTGTTCTCTTCCTAGAACCAGAAAACGAAGACTCAAACATTTTTGTTATTAAACACTTCCTTTTGTTTAGAAATGTAGTCTCATGTATCTTGACGTCTACGATCTCCTGATCCCCATGCCTCTAGCTCTCTAGTCCTGAGAACACAAGTAAGTTTCACCACACAGCGCCTTAATATTCCCTTTGGAGGCACAGAATACCTTTTATGTGCTTGCATGAAGCCCTAAGATTAACCTTAATTCAAGACCATGGGTTAAGTCAGGTTCCAGGTCCTAACTGTACTTGGGACCATCTTGTTGGTCCAGGAAACTGCATCCACTCTCCATCCTGAAACTCAGCGGGGAGCTTTATCTAAGCTGAAGTGACTTGAAGGAAAGGCTGTCCTCTGCCTCGGAGTCAATGTCTTGGGACATTAAGTCACCTGTCCTCTACACTGTAAAAGCCCAGCAGCTCTAACCTGAAAAGCAGGCCACGCAGGGTGCTGCTGCACTGATGAGCTGGCTTCGACAAGGGTCAGCTGACCTTGCTGAGCACAGGCCTCGTGTATAGGAGGACGAGAGTTCCACTCCAGGTCTACCCTGCCTTGGGCTTTAAAAGAGTCCTCACATCTTGTCACAAAATTATCCTTTTGTACAAGGACATGGCCACGAGGGGAAGTGTTTCTCTCCCAGTGCCTGTCCAGTGGGGACCAGTGGGAAGCTCATGAAAGCCCCAGTTCTTAAATCATTACAATTTCATTTGCGTTGTGGACATTCTGATTTTCTTTCAGCTTTTTACTAAAGGTTAAATAATGAGGGTAAACCTCCTTCCGAGGCTATTTCTTAATCCCCTTTCCTAAGTGCTTACACTGACAATAGAAGCCAATAGTAACCTGTCTGTATTCTTTTTAAATTCAGACCATTACTTTGTAATTGCTCAGCTCTATTCTTTGCTATTTTTTTATTTCTTTAACTTATTTATTTATTGTTGATACAGGATCCCAGTGTATAGTATGGTCGGTCTGGATGCCCACACGTAGATCAGACTGGCCTCGAACACACATACCCAACTGCCCCTGCTTTCTGAGTGATGGGACTGAAAGCCTGTGTCACCATGGCTAGTTGCATGAAATTATTAATAGCGGGCTTTAATGAAGCTTAGAAATTCTTTCACAGGTCACTGTTTAAAAGTCCTCTGACTGAATGATCAATAGGTCCACAAGTGACACTCTGCCTTATCCTTAACAGCCAAGTCTACATTTTCTCATGATTTGAACTCACAGAGATTCCTCTTGAGCTGTCCTCATCAGCTCCTTTGGTCTTTCCCATCTACCTGGGAAAATAACGCCCCAGAGCAAGAACAGCAAAGCTCCTGAGCTGGTGGCTTCTTTCCTGGTTGTTCTCTTAGTGATCTTCCGACTAGATTGCTCCCGTGCTTGCTTGTCTCTCCACCTCAGAGATTGCTACTTTCCAGGGATGATCTGTATTGTGTTCAGGCCTCTGCCCACACATTAGACTGGTCAGCAAACTATAGCCAGGCCCAGATCTGGTTATGTGGCAGACCCACTCACGGGCGAGAATAGTTTCACTGAAGCACAGCCACAGGGCCCGTTGCTGTGCTGTTAGCCGTGACTTTCAAACTGGTTGAGGTGTGTGCTTGCTACTGAACAATGTGCTTTTAGGTTCCCTAGCTGAAAACATTTACTGTTTGGTCTTTAACAGGGGTTGGGAGCCATTGATATGGCTCAACATGTAAGGGTACTTATTGTCAGGCCCAGTGATCTGAGTTCAATTCCTGGGACCCACATAGTGGAAGGAGAGAAACAGCTCTCTCAAGCTGTCCTCTGACCTTTACACATGACCCACAGCACACACACACACACACACACACACACACACACACACATACACACATGACTGACCCCTATATTCGCTACCTCCCTGCGTATTATAGGTACACACATTTCTTTTCCTTCTTTCAAGGCAAAAGTTATCTAGAGTCCAAATTACGTTTTAACCCTTGAGGGAAAAGAAAATCAAACCAATTGTTCTCAATCCCCAGGGTTGTACTTTGTAGTTAGCAGAGTTAGGATGGAAGGAAACCTTACGGGGGACACGCCAGGCCACAAAAACACTGCTCCTGCTAGAGGCATCCACTCACTTCCTTCCAGGCATCGTTTCCCCTTAATTCCCATCTTGGATCCCTTGGATCTCAGATCATCAGTAAGCTGTTTGGATGCAGCACTCCTGACTCTCTTGGCTTGTGAATTACTGATCAAGCCTGCCTAATCTGAGGATCCAAAGTCTGAGTGTAAGAAAAAATGTGGCAGGGAAGCAGACTCCATCTCAAAACTGATTGAGATTGCTTTACCAGAACAGCGAGGGGCCCTGGCCTTTCTGTGGGATGAAGGCTGAGCACATTAGAGGACTGAGACACACACAGGAACACACATATAATCACACACACACACACACACACACACACACACACATACTGTGTGTGTCTACCAGAAAATTACAGTTATACTTTGTGGTTTGACTAGGAGTGGGGTGGGTTGTTAACAATAGCTAGCTAGGCATATTGTTTGGGCAGGGGGAACTAAACAGGCAGCATGGGGCTATTCAATTATTTATGCTTCAGACCTATTGCCCAGTACAGTCTGACTCAGTGCCTCATGACCCAAGGCTGTTACCCAACATGCAGTGCTTCAGAATCCGAGAACTTAATGAAACATCTGGAAAATTCAACACTGTGTCATTTCCATACACAGAATTATCAAGAGTTTATAACCTTACCAGTATTAACCTAGGTAACTATATGAATGTGTTCTGTCAATCTGTACTTAGACTTGAGCCCCACCCATAAGCTATTATCTACATGCAAATAGTACAAAAGTTTCAGAAATACCCAAATTCTGAAACGTCTAAAACCAAGCATTTCTGGATAAGGGGTATCCATCCTGTTTCTCTTAGATTGGAAGAAACAATGGAAGACTATGTCCATTCTACACCCAAGTAGAAGATCCTTTGTGTTGAGCCTAGCATGGGCTCTCTCATGGGCTAACCTTCAGCCAAGATCCAGGACTGTGTGGTGTGTACTCTTAGGACTGATTGCATTGAGTGTGCTGAGCCTGCAATCTGTAGAAGTCAGGCATTACCATTGAATGGCAGGTAATCAGCCCACCCACCCACTTACCACACTGTGTTGAGTCGCTGGTAATGTTTTTCATACACACACCTCCTCACGGGGTAATAAGGTCTTGGATTTGTTTCTGCAGTATTCTTCTAGACTTGTTTTACAACGAGTTCTAGATGAAGGAATGCTTGTCCAAGTTCTGTCTCTACAAATACAAATAGATTTTCAGTCTCTTTGGGCTCCGGGAAGAAGCAACCTTCACTTCAATGTGTGTAAGGAACACAGAAGAAACAAAGTTGAGAGTCAGAGAAGAACCCAGATAGGAGGTTGTGAGGAATATGTGACTTTGAAAGGGTTAACTCAGGACTGCGTGTGGCAGAGCCCTTGTTAGCATATGCGAGGACTTGGGTTCTTGGATATGGCAGGACACCTTCCATCTAAGACAACAACAACAACAACAACAACAACAACAACAAAAAACCCAAACACCTTAAGACAGATTGGGCCTGTTCATATTGGGCCAATGTCCCATCCATGTAATCACCCCAATTAAAAAAAACAAAAACCAAAGAACCACAAACCACATTTCCATCATTCTGGAATATGCTTTATTGTCTGAGTTCAACTGTGCACGACTGTCTCTGATCATTGAGTCTTCCTGCATATGCTAGATTAACCACAGGCCAGTAAAAGTAAGTAAGGATCTATGGTAAGGTCTAGGATGTGTTTTCTGATCATCTCACTTGGTGCCTCTTCCGTTTACTGCTCTTTCCCTAGAAAGCGACCCAGCACAGAACCCACCAACGATCATGACTAGAAGATTCTATATTGGAATCTCCATTACCTTGCTGTTTTTCCTTCTTGCGAGCACAGCGGTTATCACAAGTAAGTAATTTTACAATGGTTCCCAATGGTAGGACAAATGATACATGGTAAATAATAAATGATCACAGAAACCAAAGAATTTTTGCCAAGCAAAAAGTTTTACATCTAAAGAGGGGGGCAAAGCCACTTTAGTCGACAGAGCAAGCACACCCAGTGGAGGTTCCCCTGGGCCTTTAACTCTAAATCACAGAGTTCTGTGCCTGCCTCTGAGTGCTCAGAGCTGGGCCTCACAGTCTAGGAGACTTGTTGTATAAAGCAGAGCAGTGACTAGGGAGAATGGTTCCGAGCACAGAATTTGCTTAGGAAAATGCTTGCTCCACAGCTCTTCTTGCCTAATGGTATCTTCCCACATTTCTTTCAAGATGGCACGTCCTCTGTCTTCTTTAGCCCTGTGGCTGAAGACAGTGCATTTCATGTCTGTTTCCCAGACCGAGGAACTAGAGCAAGGCTTCTCAGCCATTCTGACTGCCTGCAAGGAACTCCACATGCCATGGGGTTCACATTTCACAGGACTTCTCTGTGTTCCCCAATGCAAGATACATATTGTAGTCCCTTCTGGATCCGAGGGATGTGTTAGGACCTACTGGTCTCTGACAATATTCCTAACATCTGTGAAACGTTCTGTGACCTTGGTTTTGCATCACGATGTGGGTGCTAGGAACCCAGTGGGTGTTCTCTGCAAAAGCAGCAAGTGCTCTTAACCACTGAGTCAAGTCTCTAGTTTCAGTCATTTATTTTTTCTGTATAACTTCTTTTAATTTTTGAGATTATAATATAATAACATCATCTCCCCATCCCCTTTTCTCCCTCCAAACTCTCTCATATACCACTCCGTGCTCTCTTTCAAATTCATGACCTCTTTATACATAAATTGTTGCATGCATGCATGTATGTATATACATATGCATATATATTCCTAAATGCAACTGCCTCAGTGTGTCTTTGCAGGTGTGTTTTCTTTGTTTTAAGACAATGAACATGAGCTCATTATTGATCTGTTCCACATGACTGGGTCAAAAATGGGGAATCAGACTCTGCCTGTCAAACCTCAGGAGGTTTCCCTCTAGTTATTTAGCTCTTGTATATCCAAAATGATTATTTCAGCCGGCTTTGGTGGCATGCGCCTATAATTCCAGGACTCGCGCTGCTGAGGCCAAAGAATCACAGCTCATAGGCTAGAATAGCAAGGTGATGTATAAAAGAGGGGCTAGAAATTGCATACAATACTATAAATGTGCTCCCTTCCTTAGGCCGAAACCACTTATTCTCCCCTAGGGAGGGCGTTTACTGGGAGAATAAGGTCTTTAACAGGGGTGGGGGAACAAGTGGTACACACCTCCTAAACTGCGCCGAGAAAGGAGTAAAAGTGTCACTTCGGCGAGTGCTTTTAAAGGGTCCTTGATGGAAGAGATCATCAAGAGGACCTGCGTCTCAGGTCACCTTGGAGAGTCTACGTTAAAATTAAAAACCTAAACTTCTTCATTTCTCTCAGTGAAGAACAATTTACCAATGCCATTCTAGCACGTTAGGGAGGCTATGTGGGTGAGTGCACCAAGCCATGAACGCAGAGACAATATTTTCTGTGGGATACAGGAAGGAGCCTCCCTACGTTACCAGGGAACGAGTCAACTAAAAACAGAAATGATATCCTTGATTAGAAGAAAACAGCACCATGAGTGTTTTTGAGGCTATGTTCAATTCTCTTTTCATCTCCCCTGCCTCCTCTTACCCAAATTTAGAGTGCATCCTTATGAAAAGGAAGTCGGGATCTCGAAGGTAAGCTGGCACGGCGTGTGTCGATTGCTCTTGAACTTACAATCTTGTAGATTTTTCTTGCTGTTGTTCCTTTCTTTCTTCCCCTCCTCTCCCCCTTCCTCCTCACCTTTCTCCTCCTCTTCTTCTCCCTCCCCCCAACTTCCCCCTCTTCCTCCATCCCTTTCCTCTCCTGTCTTCCTCCTTCTCTTTCTCCCTTATTTTCTAGACTAAGATATTTTTGCCTGGCTCCCATTGCCCACCTTGATTCTAAAATTAGTTTTCTGAGCCCCTCTCTCTTCCTCATACCTACCAGGGATGGGTCAGCATTCTGATTTCCCTTACCTTTGTGTCTGAACTGGTACCCAAGGAGCCTCTCATCATTGACTGCCTGAATGGTAGATTTTGCTCATGGGAGATGAATTGAATGAGTTGCTTTGATTTCCCTTTTCAGCTGACCTGATGCTTCGTTCATTGGGTGCCTATTGTATTATAAGTTTGTGAAAGGGGAGAGACCCCCCCTCAGCAGTTACACTCTTACACAGGACCCAGTTTTGGCCCCTAGGACCCATGTCATAGGAATCACATAGCTGCATTTCCAGCACCTTGGGTGTGGGTGGGGGGTAGCATCTCCATTCGTGTGCACATATGCACCCCCACACAGACACATAACTATACATACATTATTTAAAATAAATCTCGAAAAGCAACTGACTATATACATGTTATTCACATACACTCAAGCAAAGCACACACACACTAAATAAAGAAATTGGTATTTTCTAGAAAATTGATGAAAAGAATCAAAAATCATAAGAGCTAGTAGGTAGGTCATTTTTGAACACCTTTCAGGCAAGTAGTGTGGGGATGATAGGGTGGTGTGGTGGTCTGTGTGAGTGAGCCCCAAGGAAGCAGATTTGGAGAATTCCTGTAGAGGCGAGGGGTGCAAAGGAACCCCAAAGGCAGTGCCTCTGCTGTTCGTACCGAGTGCTAATCATTTATACTGTCTGTCACCTTGTAGGCTCTTTCAGTTTCTCCCCCCTAGATGCCATGTAGTTATCTGCATTGATGTAAAGCCATCTAATCTGCTTCATTTTGTTCAAGACTGGCTCTATACAGAGACTTTTTCATTTATTAACCAAAATTCACACCCCTCTGGCTACTGTCCTTCCCACCCAGTTCTCCTCTGTGGCCCATTTCGATTAAGACTTCTCTGAGTCTAAGTTAATCACATGAGCCAATCCACAGTCAGTGTATTTAGCTATTCTTGTTTCTGTCCTAGCCCACACATGAATACATCATGTGCCAAATAATGTTATTCTAAGCATCTTATATTATCATGTGCCAAATAATGTTATTCTAAGCATCTTTTATTAGGAAAACAGGCTCAGAACGAAGTGTCCCAGATCACCCTATGTAGAGCACAAAGGCCTCATTCTTATGACCTCATGTTTAGAATTATTTCCATTAACAACTTCTGATAATAAAAAGGAAATTTTTCCCTATAGATGAAAAACACATCCATTTAACCCATTGCTTGCTCTTTGTGACTTTGTATCATTTTTAAAAACTTATATTTTAATTCTTATTTTTTATTGTGTGTGTGTGTGTTCGTGTGAGAAGGATAGAGAGAAAGAGAGACAAGGAACAAGGAAAACAGAGAACGTTTGGGTTTGTTGTATACACGTGTCTTCATACAGAGACAGAGAAGGGTGTTGAGTGCCTATCTCTATCTCTCTCTGCCTTTTCCCATGGAGGCAGGGCCCCTCCCTAACTGATAGCATGTGTATCACTGGGCTGTCAGCTAGTGAGCCTCACTGATTTTCCTATCTCCATCCTCCCCAGTGCTGGAGTTACAGGCATGTGAAGATGCTTGACTTGTTACATGGGTGTTGGGCCTGAACTCTGATATTCCTTCTGTGCAACAAACACACTTATCTCTAAGTCATGTGTCCAGCACCAAATCTTGGATTGGTTTATTGTTATTATTATTATTATTATTATTATTATTATTATTATTATGTTAAAAATACTGAAGAAAATGTAATATAAAAAGAAAAACAAGCTGAGTTTGAGGCCAAACTAGACTTCTATCAACAACAGTAAAAACAAAAACAACAGAACTAAACCCAGCCCACTACTTGACAAATTCCGGATATTTTGTTATGATATTTTCTGTCAGTTATACCAGTCAGAACAGCACTGGTTCATCCGAGTTCTTGATTCTAAATGGTTTCCACACATGTCCAGGTGTGACTGGCCCAAGCATAAAAGCTTTGTCCATGTTCTTTGTAATTCTCAGGGTAGGTGTGTTGTTCGTGTGGCTGCCTGGAGACGTTCGTTTTGGTCCTACATTTCAGTATTAGAGATGGTCATTGTGTACAAATGTCAGAACTCCACTGTGTTGAAATGCAGCCCATGAGTTAAAGTTAATCTGTTTTCTTCTCGGATTTGCTCCTTCATGTGTTCTAGAAGCTCATACATCAGTCCACTGTGCCCACCATGATTAGCATGGGCACAGAATGATCTCTCCAAGTGTAGCCCCTCCCATAGTTGATGGCACGACCTGTACTCTCCCAAAATTAATTCCTTGATCTCAAATACCCGACATTTGTGTGCTTGTGTCATACAAATGTCATACATGTAGTCTTTGAAACGGTGTCATAGACCACCAGCTCTTGTGAAAAGGTACTGCATTTTTACATGTGTTCATACTCCATGCTTAATGTCAGGGAATGTAGACACTACACAGATTTCAAAACCCTTTCTTCTTTTAAATAAGAAATTACTTATTGTTGGTAGGTGTGTGTGTGCAGGTTCCATGACACCTATGGAGGTCAGAGGACATCTTTGTGGAGCTGGCTCTTTCCTTCTACCTTTATATGGACTCCAGGGATCTCACTTGACCACCAGATGCTCCTAACCCATTCTAAAGGGTCACAGTGCAAAGTTGTCAAACCAGCGGTCATCCAGGTCCTAGCCCAGTCTCCAAGTGCACCTCTCGGTTAGGTAACTCAGTTCGATGTTAGGTATCTTACTCTTGATGTTAGGTGCCTTTTCCCACTGTGTGTGCATACCCCGATGGATACCAATATGAACTGATGTTTTAAAAATAATTCTTAGTTAGCCTGATGCCTATTAAACATACTCCCCTATGACTTAATACTAGGGCTCTGTGTGGTGCTGTTGACTGTTACTGTTTTTGTGAAAGAGGCTCCCTGAATCCTGAGTATACATCATAGATGAAAGCTCTGCTTGGGCCTGAAAGGTGATCTCACGCTGTTTTCTTCAACATCTCTCTCTCTCTGCAGCTTGGTAGCACTTCGTGTCTGTAGGACCGGAACTTTACAGAATATAGAGAGCAGGCGACCACGAGCCCAAGAGAATATCTACATTATCGAAGACGGTCCTCCTGTCCGAGATTAAGTTGCAGTGGAAGACAACAGTGAGATGTCACCAAGCTGGACACCCCTTTAAGCTTCAGGAATCTTTTCTGTGTTGCTTCATGGGGAGTTCCTGCTTTCCAGCGAGAGTGGAAAAGATGGTCCTCTCACTGTCTGTCCCCACTCTCACTGTTAAAATGATGTCCGGTCTCCGCTCACAGCAGAACCTTTTCTCAAACATGCTCACTTTAACATTCGGGGATTCCTTTAGATCCCATGATTCTTTTGTCCATGAAAAAGAAATCACTGGTAATGCAGGAAATGGATTCCTATCTTGGTTGCTAAAACCATCCAGGAGAGAGGATTAGATTAAAAGGAAAAAAATAAAGTAAAACACAAGCAAGGCAGGTGATATTTAATTTAGAAACACTTCATAAAAATGTCATGTGTATTTATTATAACTCAAAATGCCACTTATCCTGACTGTGGCTCTAGTCAGGGGACTGCCTTCAGAGATAAACAAAAGAGAACCTAATATCACCATTAGAGTTGTGTATACTTTCTTATGGATCTTGAAATATGATGCATCATTAGGTGGTTGATCTTAGGATAAGGATGGGTGTTTTGTGTCAGGAGAGGTTACCACGGTGAGAAAGGACCAGGCAGACATCAGGGAAGAAAACAGTGGACCAAGGGACTGAGGTCATCGGTGCTGTTTCCCCGCAGGCTGACTCGATGCCCAGTGCTCCTATTCTCACCACTGGGCTGTGAATCAGGAGCTGGAAGGAGGCAATGCAGAGATGAAGGAGAAGGGGGAGCAGGACACAGGCTCTACCTGAGAGACGTCCTACTCCAGGTGTGACAGAGTTGGGACTAGCACTGGTTTCTTTCAGAGTTCTAAATTTATAATGGTTGCCAAGTCATATTTATATTTAAATTATTTAAGAAAGAAAAAGCATTTTCATAGTGATTCAGTTCATCACAATCAATGAAATACTGAGTTTTGCTGGAATTATCAAAGGCTGTTGTGTTGGTATATTTGTTGCCAGTTTGGTTGAAGAAAAGGGCAGAGTTGCTAGAGGGTGTTAATTTCTATTTCAGGTTGAGTGACTCTGGTTAGAGACACTCAGCCCATAGGAGAGCAGGGGTGGATCTCAGTCCACTTCCTACCGCTGTTCTAGAGAGTTCTAGGAAATGAATCTGTCTCTCATTGGGGGTTCCTTGGGAAGGTCAGATAAGGAAAATTGCGTTGAAGGTTTGCTGAATGGGATTTCCTCTGCTCTTAAAAAAAAATGATTATTTAAACCACCGTGTTTTCTTTGTCTTATATTTGAGGCACTTATACATCAAAGCAGGGCTTTCGCTTCCTGCCTGTTTCATGATTCCTGCCTGGTGACTGCAGGGTTCTGCAGTTTGATGCCTGCACTGTTCTTCAGCCTTCCTAAAGAGGTGTGATAGACGTGAAGGGGACCGGAAATCTGTCTGTCCTGTTCCCCAAACTTGCTTGCCGTCAAAGACATGGTCTAGTGTATTCTGTGAAACTGAATATTTGGGACTCGGTGGAGAACAAGGCCTGGGCTCTAACCCTGACACTGAGTGGCAACAGCTGGGTAACCTGTTCTGAGTTTCTGTTTCTCTCCATCAATTTGATGTTAATGTTTCCACACTGACCTTGATGTGTCGTGATCATTGCAACGAAATGTTACTCATGAGAATCTCTGAGGAATTGTGGGGGTGGCTCATGGCTAAGAGTATAGGCTGCCCTTGCAGAGAACCTGAGCCGGGCTCCCAGCACTGACAGTGGGAGTTTTATATCTGCCTGGGACTCCAGCTCCAGCGGATGTGCCACCTCCCTTCTGGCCCTGTGAGCACATACTGGTACAAAAATACAAATAAATATTAAGAAACAAAAAAAAAGTTCTTTGAAGATGGAAAACCTACAGAGTGTAAATTTTCTCCCAGTAGATTTCATGATAGTAAGAGATCAGGAGTTTGTGTCCAATAAATGACTTAACTTTTGTTACATTCAGAGACCTCTTATATGATACTTTCTTTAAAGAATTGCTTTCCTTTGAAATACTTAATGTTTAATAATTTTCTCACACTATAGGAAAACCTGTTAATTTGGGATTAATAGGATAGAAGGAGAGGAATTTAATTAATGTGAAGAAGTACCCGTGTTTTGGATTTTAGCTTTACCTTATTTTGTTTCTTTCCTTCCTTCCTCTCTCTCTCTGTCTGTCTCTGTCTGTCTCTCTCTCTCCCCTGAGACAAGGTTTCTCTGTGTAACAATCCTAGCTGTCCTGGAACTAGCTCTATAGACCAGTCTGACTTGTTTTGTTTTCTTGAGACAAGATCTTGCTAAGTAATCTCTACTGTCCTGGGATTTCCTTCTATAGATTAGGCTAGCCTGGAATTGGCAGAGTCCCACCTACCTCTGCTTTCTGAATGCTGAGACCGAAGCTGTGTCCTGCCTGGAATAAGCCTTGTTTGATCATATTGAATGGTGTTTCAATACTGATCTCCCAAGACACAGTTGATTCCATTACCTGCACTCTGCCTTGGAAGAAGATAGTTTCAACACTTGATTGTATGCACATTCATTAATTAAATGCAGTGGCTCAATGGTTAAGCATGTGAGCTGCTCTTCCAGAGGATTTGGATTGATCTCTAGCCTCTAAGGTGACTCGCAGTTGTCTGAACTCCATTCCCAGGGAATCAAACACTTTCTTTATTCATCCATGGAAACTTCAAGTCTGTGATTCACAGGCATCCTTGCAGGCAAAACAGACATATAATCCACTGATAGAATAATAATTAAAAAATAAAAGTATTGTTTCTTTGAAAAATGACTTGCCAATTTTTTTCATGTTCACTAGTTCATTGGAGCTAGGCATTTTTACTTGCTGTATGGAATATTCCCAGTTTGTGTACAAATATATCAAAGGTTGTCAAGGGAGCTGGGGAGATGGCTCAGTGGATAAAAGGATTTTCCCAAGAATGAGGACCTGAAGTTGAATATGAGAAAGAACCCATGTGAAAAGCAGGATATGATGTCAGGGTCCAGTCTTGACAGTGTTCGCAAGTTCCAGGCTTAGGACAAGTGGATTAGAAATGGCCGGCAGACAGAACAGAGATCCAAAAGAAATACAGAGACATAGGCCAGAACTGGGAGAGCAATCCAGTGAATAGTGAATACTCTTATGTTTGTTTTCCAATCCAAAAGGGGTGGGGAGGCAAAAGACTGCTTTAATATGATACATTGAACAAACAGAGCAATTACCTGCTTCAATAAAGGAAGCATCAAGCAATTATATCCTTAGTTAAGCGTTCTGTTGTTTAGGCAGGACATGTAATGACCACACCTGAGACCAAGCATCCTGTAGGCAACCACTCCCTGGGTCAAACCTCCTGTCATATCCTTGAAGGAGCAGGAATAGACTTGAATTCTCTGACCTTTGGTCAGAGTGGACCGAATCCATCGCAGTGGGCCACCTCAGTACCCAAAACGCCAAGTAACCATACCCAAGTCAAGATATCTTGTTTGTAACCATACCTTAATTTAGACCTCTTATTGATAACTTTGAAAGAGTAAGTTTAAACTCTCTGACCTTCAGTCAAGGTGGTGCAGACTCACTTTTGTGGGCCCCCACAATATGGCTGTGTGTCTCTGTAACCACAGCCTATGGGGAGAAAAGACACAAAAGCAAAGGCATGGGTGTTTCTCTGCAGTAGAAATATTATATCAGCTTGGCCAGGCATGGTGGTACATGCTGTTAGTCTCAACAGCTGTGAGGCAAAGGCAGGTGTCTCTCTGTAAGTTCAAGACCAGCTTGGTCTACTTAGTGACTTTCAGGTAGCCAAGGCTACATAGAAAGACCCTATCTCAATATATATATAAATGTGTGTGTATGCCAGTGTGAATGTGTGTGCGTGTGGTGTGTGCTGTATGAGGCTGAATAAGAGGATAGGCGCACATGTTGGCACCCTGGCCTAAGATTCTGTGTAAGTCACAAATTATCCAAGCCCTTTGATTTCTGTTAGTCTCTGACTCTCCTTCTGTCCAAGAGGTGGCCACTGAGACCTCTAGATTTCCTGTCTCAGAAACTGCCCTCCTGCCTCTATAAAAATCTTGAATATTCACAGATTTGGCCAAATAAGTAAAGAAAAATGTTTACTACTATTATAATTTTATTAAAAATAACCATTTAGTCCATGTCTTGCATAAAACTTTTACAAATATTAGAGTTCAATTAGTCTCTTTCTTCTCTCTCTCTCTCTCTCTCTCTCTCTCTCTCTCTCTCTCTCTTTCCTCTCTTTCTGTATATATATGTGTGTGTCTGTCTGTCTGTCTATCTGTGGTGTATGTGTCTGTGTGCCTGTTTGTCTGTGTATCTGTGAGTGCACTTTCCACCAAGGGCATTGAAATAAAAAGACGCCTTGGAGAGGCAGTTCTTTCTTTCTATCATGTGAGTGCTTGAAATGAACTCAGGTCTCAAGCAAGTGTCTTTATGCACAGAACCATTCTGCTGACTGTTACTTAAACCTTAGCTTTAAAATGCTTAATAAGAAATGACTCTATTTTAATTAGATATTAAGTATACTTAGTGTAATGAATTGTTGTCTTCATTACTTTTTTATTTACTCTGGGCTGGCACTTTAGCTTACATCAGAACTAAAGGATTGATAAAGTAAAATCAGGGTCCTTTCTAGCTGAATGCCAACCATCAGCTACCTCAGACGTCAGCCGCACAAGGAGGAGCTCAATTCTTCATAGGGCCAAGGTTAGAAGATGTCCCAGGAGACAAATGAGACAGAAGAAGCTGACCTCAGGGCACATCAATCAGGGAGGTTAATCTCATCTCATTTCTGGGTAGAGTTCTGCTCTTAAACTCTATGTGGCTCTTTTCATTTCTGTAATGGGAGAGAAAAGTAGGTTAAGTCCCCTCTCATCATGTCATATAACTCACAAGCTACGACTTGTAGGATTTCAATAAGAAAATGAGTCCATAATGGTTAGTCCAGTGTCTGGTCACAGTGTGT